CGACGAGACGACATTAGGGTTGTTCTTGAATAAAGACGATGGAGTTTGGGGATGAGTAACTTGAATTTTCTGTTAATATATTTCAATGTATTTCAATGTATCTCGCTGTATTTTCATGTATTTCATTGTATTCATTTTCTTTTTTTTATTGTATTTCAATGTAACTCATTTTATTTCATTGTATTCACTATCTCATTGTATTTCATGAATGTATTCATATATTTTTTAAATTAATATAATTTATGTACTCAGATGTATATATGTATTCAAATTTCTCTATTTTGTTGTATTTATCGGCTGGGAAAATTATTTAGCATTTTTTCTCTGAAGATTGCTATATTTTTGGGGTATTTTTCCGTTGAGAATCTTTTTTATAACTGAAAATATAAATTTTGTGTGTTATAATTAAGTTTGATAAGTTATATTAGGAGTTTATTATGTTAATTGATTCACTTTCCATTTAAAAACAGCTGAATAGACCATGAATTGCGCTATTTACGTTACTGTATTCACAAATACATATCGTGAATACAATCGAATACAATAATCTGTCTAGCTGTAATCCCCTGTATCACATCGTGAATACAGTCGAATACAAAAATCTGTCCAGTTGTAATCCCCTATTTCACGCCTAGAAAGGCTATTGTATTCATGAATACAGTAGCTTAAATACATCGAATACACTCTAAAAAACCTGAAAACATAGCTATAGGAAGTAATATAGTAAATGGTAGTTACAACTAGCTAATAACCACTGAAACATAGTGGTTTCTGAAAGTTATTATGGAATACTACTGTCTGTTACTAGAGATTAGTCCATTGAATATAAATATTTATGGGCTTTGTTTATTTTAGCCCATGCCAGAAATATTTTGGGATTTTTACCTAACTATAATATATTAGAAACTTATTTACATATGTTCTCTATGTCTTGTAGTTTTTAACAAATATCTAGGTTTTTCTTACAAATTATGTAGATTGCTCTTTAAAAGGCTCACGCCCCATTATTAGTGCCTTCAATTAAGGGATTCAATTACATCATTTTCTTTTTTTTTTCTCCTCTTCTCTTCTCTCTCCTTTTTTTTTTTTACATCAAAATCACCTAATCGATGCTAGAATCTCCATCTTTTCTCTTCCCATCATTGCCGATAGCTTCATATTATTAAAAAAAAATCATCAATTGCATTGATTTTTTGCTGGGAGACTCGACAACACTGAAAAATGAAGAAATATTCAGAAATTGTATGATAATTTTATCATAATTGTATTTGAATTGTATCAGATACATCAATGCTTAAAACATAATTGTATCATACTTGTATAAAAAATGTATCTATAAGGTATATTAATACCCAAAATAATACATAATACAATACTAATAAATTAATATATAATTATAATATATTTATTTTTTCTAGGTAGATAGATTTTCATCGTTACCTTTTAATTGTTAAAAGTAGAGCAATATATAATTTAAAAAGTGATTTTATGCAATATAACTTCTACGTAAATTTATTTTTTTCGGGCAAAATATAAAAGTGTCAAATGAGCAAAACATCGACAAGTTAAAATAGGTTGAACCCATAGATCAATTCAACATGTCAATATTATTTTCGCCAAAATAATGAGACAACTCATCATATGGTAGGCACTCACTTCTTCGAGAATTTAATTTATTAGTTAGCGGTAACAAAATATTTAGACTACGAGGCCACTATTGAGTAATTATTAGTAAATCTCTTAATAAATACTATTGAGTAATAATTTGATAAAAATGATAATTAACTATCAGATGTCGAAGTTTACTAGTAATAATGTATGCATGTATATAATCTAAATACTTTATTGTAACGGTAAAAATTTATTTGCACCTGATATTACACCAAACCTAATTAAGTTAACCCATAAAAGATAAACTAAAGTCTAATTTTATTTTTAATAATAAAATATTAAAAAAGAAGCCAGTAGAGTCATAATAACCTATTCCCTTCGGTTCACAATAAGTGACCAATTTGCTTTTTCATTTTGGTTCAAAATAAGTGTCCAATTATGTAATCAAGAAAGAATTCAATTTGTTTTTACAAAATAACCGCTATGTACATATTCCTAAAAAGTTTTCTTACTCCTCGCATTAAATGTTTAATTAGAGGTAGTTTAGTCATAGTAGGTATTTTTGTATAGAATTTAGTATTTTCTTAATGGGCGTGCTAAAAGCAAGTTGGTCACTTATTGTGAACTGGAGGGAGTAATTACTACTATCTTACAAACTCCTAGGGTTGCCAAATGCCAACTTGCCATCATCAGGGGCGGATCCACCCCTTTACAATGGGGTGGCATGGCACCCGCTGAGATGATAAATTTTTTATATACCTACGTTGAAATTTTCTTAAATTAGGTTAAATATCTTATCTTACCACCCGCAATTGTAAATTAGACAAAGGTGTCATGCTGGTATATCTTTTTGAAAGATTTTCTCGTGTGTAAAATTCAGCTGGGAATTATCTTGAACCTTGTCTGACTTTTCTTTTTCATGTGCTTTTTATTTATTTTTTTGGTCCAATCCTTTTTCATTTCGGCTACCTCCCAATTTTCTATTTATCGTTTCATTATTTTTTATATTTGTCTTTTCTTTATTCTACTATTATTTATATGCGGTCTCTAACAAGAATACTCAAAAAAGAGACTCCAAAATTATAAAAATTTTTAAAATAAGTATACCTGTTAATCTCAAATTTATGAGTTTTCATTCCTGTTAATCTCAAATTTATGAGTTTTCTTCTTTCATATCCGAAAAATTTGGGTCTTAATGGTAATTTTCGATTGAGATCAATCTTTTTTCATCTTTTTTTATTATATCATAAAAATTTGTGTTATTCTATGGTTATTAAATATAATTTAAATCTCTTTACTATTAAATTATGACAAAAATTTTGTAACCATTGATTAAAGAAGAGATTTGTGATTTTAATTTTTGAGAACTTGTAGTTTATTTAATTCTATACTTGTGGAGTATGATTTATCTATTGAAGATATTTTAAAAAAAATTCTTAATCTGCTTGATGTAATTCCCTTATTGACGATGTTATCTTACTTGTGTAAATTTATTTTTAATATACAAAAAAAAATATAATTTCCTAGTGAAAATGTTGATTTTACTTGTGTTGGTGTAATAAATGTATGATTCCTTATTCAAAATGCTAATTACGTCTATTTTAATATCTGAGATGTAATTTTTTATTTGCAAATAAAAAATACCTATTAAGTTGATCCGAAGAAACATTTCTAACAAATTTCATATTAGTCATTATAAGGTATACATTAAAAGAAATTATGACACCCGCCACCTTCAAATCCTAAATCCGCCTTCATCATCTGTATTTTATTTCTTGTAAGCATATTGTAACAGCATATTTGTTGTATCTTGTGGCTTGAATATTATGTACTGAAGTAAAGATTCATAATTCTCAATTCTCATCCTCTCCTTGTTCCTTTCTCTAAGTTCGTCTAAGTTCTAATCCCGCTTCTTTGTCAAATACTTAGGCAAAAAATGCAAAATCTTGTCTTCTTTTTATACAATAGTTATATGAAAAAACAAGTCTGCGAAAGTCATAAACTTGAAAGAAAAAAAAAAATCAATCAATAAATTTTATCATTTTACTAGCGCTAGAATATTAAAAGCATACAAACTTTGTCCAATTGAACTCTAAGAAAGAAGGAGAATTTGTGCCTCACTATTTTAGACTTCATATTTTCTGATTCATGGCAATGGTTTTTTTTACTTTCCCCGATTTACTAGCATTATCGTTAGGTGCATAGTGGAATAGATATTAAGTATATTTAATTAGTATAGTAAATTATCATGTATACTATAAAATAAATGAAAGCTAACTATGATTAAGCACTAACTGTTGTAGCTGGCTAAGTGACAAGTGTCATTTATTTGTTGGCTTGGTGTAAGTTTTCACCTATTGTAACATTGACAATCATAGTATATCAGATAAACAGATTGATATTTTACATAAATTAGAATGAGGTTAATCAATAATCTAGAATCTAATCCTTCAAAATTTATTTAGATAAAAATAATACAGCCAAATTCTCCAACTCAAATTCAAAAGAAAACAAAATTTCCTTTTCACAAAGGGGTCGTTTGGTAGAGTGTATAAGAATAATGCTGAATATGGTGTATTAGTTATGTTGGTATTAATTATGTTTGCATTAGTTATGCTAACATATTTCTTATCCATTGTTTGATTTGATGTATTAAAGCATTGCATAATTTCTAAAAGAATTATTTGTTTACAAAAATACCCTCATAACCAGTACATCACTTTATCTTTTTAAAAGAAACATATGTTGATGAATGTTTTTATATGAAAAAGGTTTAAAAACATTGTTTGATTTGTCTACCTATATTGTAGTATAGAACTGAATATTTCTTTATAAAACAGAAAATATGCTAAGTATTTATTTATTTACTAGGGATATAATTTTATTTCCCGCTTTCTTGGATTATTTCAAACTTGCATTAATATAATAGAATTTTTAATCAAACATAAATTTTGAAGGACGATTTTATCTTTAACTAAGCTAATGCAGGCATTAAAACTCATTGCATTGTTAATACTATGGTTTGTTATATACTCCCTCCGGTCCAAAATAAGTGATTGTTTGGCTTTTTTGTATGGTCTAAAATAAGTGATTTTTCCAAATTTCAAGAATGAATTAATTATTTTTTTTCTACATTGCCATTGGAGTAATTAATGTTGGAGTATGTGTTAGGAGTGTTTATGTGAAGAGATAGTAAAGGTTAATATGGTCAATTTCATTGCTAATTAATGTTAAAAGGTGAATTTCTTAATATGTGTAAAAACAACTAAAATATCACTTATTTTGGATCGGAGGAAGCATTAGATAATACCAAATAGGGTATATAATTAATGGTTGTATATCTAACGTACATAGGTGTAATATGTATCAAATAAGGTATTATGCATTAGTTTATCTAACCAAACGACCCCAAAGGGTTTTGGGTTTAGCTGTATTCATTTCGCGGTGCGGCAGAGCAGTAATCCCATGTGGTCGGTTGTAAGATCTCGAAGCTTCTCCTCTTCCCCTGCAACACAGCAGCAATGGAAGCTAGGGTTTTCAATGCTCAATCGCCCTCTATCGTCCGCCGCCGTCAACGACGGCGACGGTGAAGGAATCCGCGGCGGAGAGTTACTGAAACTAGAAGAAGTGGAGGCAATCCTTAAAGACGTTAAAGCTGATAACGTCAAAGTTATTCCTATACCTAAACACGTTGATTTNCTGTTATTTTATTCGTCTAAACTTACCTACCGTCGTCTGTCAAAGGAAATGGAAAATTGAAAATGCATTAAACTGTCATGCCCTATCAGAAAACAGATATTCTTGTCATTTTAAAATTTTAGCTTGGGTAAGGGGTGTCTGGTCAATTATTGGTTTTCATTTTGAAGCTTGTGAAAGGCTTGGGTGAGGGGAGGTATAGCCACTGCAAAGGAAAAGGCTAGCAAAGCTGAAGTTCATGACATAGCTCTATTGGTCATTCTGCTGCATTGCGTGTCTCCTCTCAGTGCCTGCATGCAAGGCTGAATGCTAGCACAAGCCTATGCTTTTGAGAGAAAGAAAAAGATAGGACCTTTACTTGCTTCACTTCCATCTTAAAGGACATTACCTTCATACGATTCACCATATTATAGCAATATACTGCATATTTCGGGGGAGGAGTTTGTCTGTAAAAGAGAAAACAGAGGCTAGAAAAGGGGAAATATTTATGTCTATACCAGATTGTAGACTGGGAAAATGAAAAGGAGAGATGCAATCCTGGTAACCTTCGGTTGGAGAGGCTACAATTCCGCTGGTGGAACCTGGAGTTGTCTCACTGTAATATATATACTGTTTTATTGAGCGGAAGGATGTGCGACAGATAAAGATGAAGGAAGATAAACTTTTTGGTGTCCTTGTTAGGTCGTTGAGGAACCTGTTAGGTGACTGATAATGGGTATTGCAGCCAGCCTAGGTATCAATGTATTCCCAAAGAAAAGAATATAGTGCCTGTGATTAATTATAACTGCGATCTGAGTATTGAGCTTGCAATCTACCAAGAAAGAGGTGGGATCTTGTGAAAGTACAGGAATGAGAAGCAAATAACAGTCAACATATCAGATTCACTTGTCCAGACATAGGATTTTTGGTAAAATGAATTGTCAACTATGGGCTCTTGAAAGAATATACATTAGGAGTATCTACCTGTCGTTGAGTCCTTGAAACTTGTTACTTACTAGAAAAGGAGACTCTACTTGTGGTTGACTCCTTGAAACTTGTTTCTTATCACAAAAGGAAGATCTACTTGTGTTGACTCCAGTGTTATCAACGGCGAAAAGCGCAAAAAAGCTCTACGGTCTGTTGGGGCTTTAAGCGCAAATAACGCGTGGACCTTAATAAAGAAAGGCACAAATGGAGAAAAAATACAAATATGTATATGTAGTCCAAGACCAATAATATAAGCACGAATAACAAAAAAAGTGGACAAAATTTTAAAAAAAAAATGATAAAGTGAAATATCAACTGGTTAGTGTTGCCTCTTTAGCATTGTGCTTATTGACAAGGAAAAGTATGTCTTAGAACCTTGATGACGACACTGAAGTGCCCCCTAGGCGAGGCGAAGCGCTCAACATGTTTTGCACATCGTTTCAAGGCTTAAGCGCGCTTTAAGCACGCCTTTGACCGCTTGACAACACTGGTGGACTCCTAGAAACTTGCTGTACATGCCTCTTTGCCAAGCATCCCATATAGCTTTGATGTGTTATCTTATCCAAAGAAAAATGAATCTGGAAATAAGTTCTGTGCATCTTTGTCATTCAAGGTTAGGAGAACTTTTAAGAACGGTTTATTAGGAAATAAATCGTGAAATGAACATTAATGCAGGTTTAGTGTTGAACTACTGTGAATAAATATTTTAACAATTTTACTTGAAGAATCATCTTCCTTTTCTATAACTTCACTTATTTTGTTTGATGAACAGGTTAAACAAAAGCAGAAAGGATCAAAGAGAATGTTGTTACCAAGCGTGGAAGGGCAAGAAGGGGGGAAGTGGATTGTAATCGACTCTGGTATTAAATTCTTTTTTTCTGAAACACTATCTAGGTAATTTAAAGAATTTTGTGGATTTGGATTCATAAAATGTGATAAAGCATTGTGCATTACTTGGTTATTTATTTCCGAGGATTCATTCAGGTAAAATTCTGAAGATGGTTCACTTTTTACACGAAAGATCTACCTGTAGAACTTTTTGAAGAGCTTTTGCAACATAAATACATGCTTGAGGCTTAAAATGTATAACTTGGGCCATACAAGCAACTTATGCATTGTTAGTGTTCATTTGATAAAGCATTGTGCATTACTTGGTTATTTATTTCCGAGGATTCATTTAGGTAAAATTCTGAAGATGGTTCACTTTTTACAAGAAAGATCTATCTGTAGAACTTTTTGAAGAGCTTTTGCAACATAAATACATGCTTGAGGCTTAAAATGTATAACTTGGGCCATACAAGCAACTTATGCATTCTAAGTGTTCTTTGTCAGAGGGAAAAGTAGTTTCCCAAGTTGCTTCAATTGATGTGGTCCATCAAGGGTTCTGCACTTATAAGAGTTCTTGATTTGATCATATAACTTTTAAATTCTATCAATTTTTCATGCTTTATGACACTTCATTAGCTTCTAATCGCTGCCATTATGATGACAGTTGTGATATTTAGGTTAGTAAAAGAATTGATTTCCATGCTTTGTTGATCTAGTTTAATAAGGGTATCCTCTAACATTAATTTTGGTGCTATATGGACGATGAACTGTTATCTACAATCATTTTCTACCATCTCTCATACTGTTATTCAGCAGTAAGATGCTCTGTATCTGAATTATGACTTCCATTATATAAGTCAATTGGATACTGACTTGTGCTTATATGTATTCTGATGTACATGTAAGAAGTTTGCAGAAAATACTATTTTTCGGCCAATTGAGAGTGCTACCTTATGTAATCTGATTGTAATCTGATAGTGATGAATTGCATAGATCCATGTGACAGTGTTGATTACGAAACTTGTTAGCTCTCAGATTCTGCAGAACTCTTTAGTATTCTACTATCACTTGTTGATTTTATTTAGTTGCAATAGGCAAATTAGTAATCCATGCACTTGATGAGAAAGTGAGAGCATATTACAACTTAGAGAGGCTTTGGAGCACAGATGCATCAAACCAGGACCATGGTCTTGTCCAGGGTCAGGTAATTATTTTTAGTTCCTTTACGATTGTTAGGCTGAATAACACGTCATTTGAAATATCCTTATTGGAAATTTACATTTATGTTAGGATTTGGACAAGGCCTTTTTGAAGGTTCGACCCAAGAATAACTCAAAAAAACGTCCATCAACAAGTGCCTGAGCGACGAGTTACAGCATGGAAAATCAGATCCTTCATGTTGGCTGGCAGATGCAGCCTTACTATGGAAGTAGCTTCTTTCAGGAATAGCGGAGGATTAAATTGGAGATTGTCATTTGACCAAAGCGTACAAGTTAGATTTCCATTGCGAGTTCGGAGTATGACTTTTATAATGGTAGCTGTGTAACCTTTGAGGTGTACATTTTCATTGTATGTTACTGCAGCAGCGAAGCCTTTGATGTGTAATACTCGTTCCGGTTAGAATGCCTGTCAGGTCGTGATGTTTTCTTGTTGATGAAAACATCGGCTTGGTACAAGCGGAACTAAGGTCCATAGCAATGTTCAATCTTCAAACTATTTTTCTAAAGTTCTTTTTTATTTTATTTGGCTTAATATAATACTATTAACCTACTATAAATCATTTGCAGATAAGACATGTAACCTGCTATAAGCCTATAATATGACATTGCAGAAAATATTTGAACTGTTAGTATTTGATTTATTAGACACCTGGCAAAAAACTCCTCAACTGGCAAATCAAAGACGCCAGAGCACAAAATGCTATGTTAAATAGGAATAATTCCAAGATGGACAAAGTACTGTTAAGTGTTGCCTGGTCGTTTTGTTTAAATATAAGTTAATATGCTGGGATTGTTTATGTTGTGATTAGTTGTACTAGAATTATGATGGTATTAAATATATTGATATTATTTCTTATTGATTGTTTGGTATATTATATTAAAAAATTTGATATTGTCAATTTTACTATTTTATCTTGAGATTACTATTCCACTAGCTGGCATATGTATAAGTTATATCGGTACTACTATTACTCTATTTTTGAGACCTACTCCACAAGAAGCAATTTTGTAGAGAAAACTCTTCCTAACTTCATAGATTAGTAACTTTAACTTATTGTTGTTCAATTTTCATTACGAATTTTCACTATTAAATCTAAGATTTCATAGAATAGAAATTGGGGTTTTGGACTTTTGGGTAGAAATTAAGGATGTTGTAAAATTGAAATTTAGACCTCAAATTAAGATCGGATATCAAAACAAATCACATATTTGGACTTGGGAGTGAATGCGTAATTGAAATTTGATCTTATGTATTTCGACCACGTGGGTCCGAGTTTACTTGTTGTTGACTTTTTAAAATATGTTAACCTTTTTCGTACGAGGGTAGTTTCTAAAGTTTGTTTTGACTTATTTGAGTAATATTTGACTAGATTTGAATGGTTTAGAAGCTTGTTCTAAAGGAAAAGCTGTGTTTGGAGACTTGTTCTAAATGGAAAGCCGTGTTTGGAGGCTTGTTTAGGAAAGGGGTAAGTATTGTGGTTACCTTGATTTGAGAGAATTAGAATGTGATTGGTCTATTTGCTACGTGATCGATGTGTGGGGACGACATATATACAAGGTGATGAGTGTATATATGTCGTCATGGATTGAAGCATACTGGGTGTACCACTTTATTGCATGTCTTTACTAATTTCGTGTTTTTACTTTTTATGTGATCTTACTTGATATATGTGCCTTCACTTGTTCAATATCCTTATTTGCCATATGTTCTAGCTTATTAAATGCCTTTATTTATCGTACGCCTTTACTTGTTACATGTTCCTGCATGTTATTAGATAGATGTTTTTACCTGTTTCATGTCTTATTTCCTTACTTGTTTCTCGTTTTACTCAACTTTGTTATATCGGATTGTATGATCTTTATATTATTCTTGTGTTTACGACTTGTTGAAGCCTTTATTGACATATGTTGTGAAGCCAGTTCATGAACATTGAATTGTTAGATATTCTCTGTTTGTGCTCGTATTTCCTTGGTGAATTACGCATTTTTAGTTCTCTTTTATGTTATGTTATGAAGATTCTCCATATTTGATTATTATTGGGAATTTTCAAATAAATTGGTATTAGGATCGAGTTGCGCGCCGCAATGGTATTGTTATTAATATTGTGATCGAATTGCGCACAATGATGTTATTAGTGATATTGGGATCGGGTTGTACGCCGCAACGGTATGAGCACTTATTGGTATTGATATTTGAATCGGGTTACGCACCGCAACATCAAGGATGTCTTGTACTTGTTCTTGGTTGCTATGCTCCCCTACCATGTTATATTTTGAAGTTGTGATGTGGTGTTATTTTGGGGCCTTCTGTCATTTATTTTCTTATACCATTCATTATGTAGTTTCCCATTTCTCTATCTTGTTATTGTTGTTCTGCTTATTGCTCGTACATGTTTACAGTGAGTGTCTTGTCATAATTTCGTTACTATCTCATCGAGATTAAGCCCGATACTTATTGAGTATATGAGGTCGGTTGTATTCATACTACACTTCTGTATTTCTTGTGCAGATTCCATTGTTGGTCCCCGCGGCGTTCAAAGGTGATTGCTCGGACCTTTTTCAGGAGGCTTGAGGTAGTGTTGTTTGGCGTTCGCAGACCCTGAAGTCTCATTCCTATCATTTATCTACTATTTTTTTTTTATCAAACAGTATTGTATTCTTGTTCAGACCTTATATGTAGTATTCTAGTGGATCATGTACTTTGTGACACTAAATCTTAGGAGGTTATGTAAAAGGTGTATGGTTAGACTTATTATCATATGTAACTGAGTTTAACTTTCATTATGTCTTATGATGATGTTACTTGTTAGACTAGCTCATTATTTCTTATTAAGAGTTGGCTTGCCTAGCGAGCAATCTTAGGATCCATCATGGCCGCAGTGTTGGAATTTTGGATCGTGACAATACACTTAAGTATTTTCACGCTTAAAAGACATCATTCTCAATCTAACTACATACTAAGGATATAAAAAACAGATTAAGAGTGCGTTTGGTATGAAAAAAATATGTTTCTTGGAAAATAAGTAATTTTCTTACATATTTTCTGGTGTTTGGTTAGATAACAAAAAATATTTTTTTAACAAAATATATATTTTAGGCAAATACTATGTGATACGAGGCTCAGATGGATAAGATTAGGAATGATGATATTCCGGAGAAGGTGTGCGTGGCTCTCATTGATGACAAGATGCGGGAAGCAAGACTCAGATGATTCGTGCATGTACAAAGGAGAAGTCCAGATACTCCGGTAAGGAGGTGTGAGCGGCTGGTTGTGGAGGGCACGAGAAGAGGTAGAGGGAGGCCTAAGAATTATTGGGGAGAGGTGATCGGGCAGGACATGGTGAGGCTTCAGATTTCCGAGGACATGACACTTGATAGGAAGATGTGGAGGTCGAGTATTAGGGTTTTAAGTTAGGAGGTAGTTGAGTCTTGCCTTACTTCGTACATTTGTGAGACTAGTCTGGTAGGGTTTTTGTCCAAGATAGTTGGTGGCAATGTTGTATCTTACTATTTTATTTTTCATAGTGTCGGGCCTATTTACTAGCTATCACTTTTGCTTTGCATCTATCTTTTGGATTCATGTTGTTTCTATTTTTCCTATGATTTCTGTGGTGGTACTGATATTGTGTCCTTTTGTCTTTTTGTCTTCTTGAGTCGAGGATCTTTCGAAAATAATCTCTTTACTTCTTCGGGGTAGGGGTAAGGTCTGTATACTATCATGGGCTGCTTTCCAGACATGCCCCATGACCCCTTGGCCGCGCCCCATGGCGGCCTAGCAAGCCTCACAATGCCTAGCGCCATGGTCGGCCCCGTGGTCTTGGCTGCGCCAAGTGACAAGCGCGCATGTGCCTCTGTCGCCCCACTGATGCCTCTCGCCAGCGCCTAAGGGCTAGCCAATGACAACAGCGCCGCGCGCCCTGACAATGTCGCGCGCGCAGATCATGATGCCTCGCCAGTGCCCAGCTACAGGCCCATTCCAACAGCGCCTCGCGCACAGACCCTGATGCCAAGCACCAGTGCCCAGCCTCA